GCGGATCTCGTGGCTCATGTTGGCCACGAACTCGCTCTTGGCGGCGCCCGCTGCTGCGGCGCGTTCCAGCGCCGAGCTGAGTTTCTGCTCGGTGAGTTTCTGTTGGTGGATATCGGTGCCCGTCCCGAACCAGCGAGCGATCACGCCGGTCTCGTCATAGATCGGTAGTGCACGGGCCAAGTGCCAGCGGTACTTGTTCGTGCGGACGTCGCGCACACGGACCTCGCATTGAAACGTGACGCCGCCGTCGATCGATCGCCGCCATTTCGCTTGGGCGTCATCGGCGTCATCGGGATGGATGGCTTCGGTCCACTGGAGGCGCCGGGCCTCTTCCAAGCTAACGCCGAGGTAAGCGCTAGCCCGGTGATTTAGATACTCCAACCGCCCGCGGCGGTCGGCGGCGAACACCATTTGTGGCATCGAGTCGGCGAGCTGCCGAAACTCCCGCCCCCGCTTGTCGAGCGTCTCGACAAGGTCGCGCACCGTGTACTGCCGGAGGCGGTCGCTGAGCCGCGAGCGGATGACGCTGAGGAACAATGCGATCTGCAGCGGGCGTCTCACCAGCGTGACGTTGGCCGACTGATGCCACCCGTCCAGCGCGCGCAGATTGATCTCGCTCGGGAGCGTGAGGATGATCACTGGCAAATCGGACCACGCCGCCTGCTCCCGCAGCATCCGTTCAACGAGCCCGTCGGCGTCGTCGAGCAACCGTTCTTCGGCGATGACGACGGCTCCGGCGCCGAGATGGACCTCTTCGCACAACTCATCGAGGTTGTGGCAGATGTGCGATTCGAAGCCGTTCTCGTCGAACAGACGGACGGTGATCTCGGCGTCCTTCGCCGTGGGGAGAAGGAGCAGGACGCGTTGGGACCCGATGGCGGGCTTCAGGTTAGACATTGCTGCCCCGAGTGGCGCTGCCTCGGTCGATGAGTTCGTTTATGTCTCCTTTGTACGTTGGCGTGCCGGCCAGAACGCCATGGAAGGCGCGGAGCGGTTCACCGACGCGTATCTTGCCATCCCCCATATGGAGTTCACGTATCGAACGCTCGTGCGTGCCGTCGCGCTTCTTGACGACCGAGATCGCTTGGCGGATTTCACCCGCCGCCTCGAAGTAGCGGAAGAGGATCACCGTGTCGGCGAGATAACTGGCGTCAACCGGCGTCTTCATCGAGGCGCCGAGCATGCCGTGTTGCGCGACAATGAGGAACGTCGAGATGCCGCAACTGCCCAAGTAGTGGAGCAACTCGTGCATCTGAATCTGCAAGAAGCGCTCCTCGGGCATCGCGCTGAGGTACCCGTTCAGGCTGTCGATGACGACCACCGACACCCGCGCGCCGTCTTCGCGGGGCTGGACGGCTTGGCGGACCAGGTAGGCGAATCGACCGGGCGAGACGTCGCCGGGATTCACCGAGTGGATCTCGAGCAGCCCGGACTTCTCGAACTCTTCCAAGTCCATGCCGAGTCCCGCGGATCGCATCCGCAGCGTCTCCTTACTCTCGTCGAAGACGAAGATGACGGCCCGCTCGCCGCGCTTGCAAGCGGTAACGGCGAAGAGCGTCGAACACGAGGATTTACCGACGCCTGCCGGGCCGAGCATCAGGGTGCTTGTCCCCGGCGCGACGCCCTCGCCCAGCAGGGCGTCGAGCGACTCGTTCCCACTGAGTACGCGCGACTTCTTCGCCCACGAAAGCTCATGGTAAGCGGCCTCGATGCGCGGATAGATCTGGACGCCGCCCCGCTCGATGTCGAAGTCGTGCCAGCCGCTGACGAAATGCCTGCCGCGGAACTTGACGATCCGCAGCCGCCGCCGTTCGTCGCCGAACTCCGACGGGTTGCGGTCGAGGCTCACGACGCCGTGGGCGAGGCTTTGCAGCTGCAGGTCGTTGTCGCTCGAGGTCTTGTCGTCGAGGAAGATGGCCGTGCAGTCGCGGCCGACAAAGAACTGCTTCAGCGCCAGAATCTGTCGCCGGTAGCGCAACGGGTTTTGGGCCAGCAGCCGCAACTCGGAGAGGGAATCGATCACCACGCGCCGTGGGTTCTGCGCTTCGACACGCTCGAGCATGCGCCGCGTCGTCTCGCCGAGTTCCACTTCCGAGGGTTGGAAGATGGTGTACTGCGATTCCGCGTCGAGAGAGTTCGTGGTGTCGACCAGTTCGTAGATATCGATCTCGCTGAGGTCCCAGCCGTGCGACTCCGCGATGCCGTAGAGCTCGTCCTTCGTCTCGGAGAGCGAAACGTAGAGGCCTTTCTCCCCGAGCCGGACGCCCTCCAATAGAAACTGCAAGCCGAGGGTTGTCTTACCGGCGCCCGGGTGGCCATCGAGCAAGTAGATACGGTTGGCGGTGAGCCCCCCGCCGAGAATCGCGTCGAGCGTCTCGTTTCCAGAGCTGATGTCAACGGTGGGCTTTACCATCGCGCGGCGCCTTACATTGAAGGAAGCGGCAGATGCCGCCCTCGGGGCGAGGGTTGCTGATTCTACTCCTAGAATGCTTAGCTAGAGACGTGCCGAAGGCATATTAAAGGACGACGGCAGAAGAAGTTGGTTCTTAAAAAACTCGCTTGGTCGTTGCGCAACCAGCCGGTGGCAGTGGCCGTGACAGCAGTCCGCCACGGCCCGACCGTCACGGGAGTGACACGTTGGCGAGCCAACGACGCCAGTCGTCGGAGCGAAGCGGGTACACGCCAAGCGAGTGTGCACCTCCCGCACTCCGGGCGCTGACGCGTTCCGGCTCCCGGTCACTTGGAGTGGTGGGTCGTTCGAGGCGCTGGCCGCGGCTAGCGCCGACGGCTCAGGAGGGGGGCTCACTCGACGATATGCTCTAGCACCGCGAAGCACCCCGGGTTCCAGCCGTAGCAGAGGACGTAGAGCTTGCCGTCCACTACCACTCCAGCGGCGTTGTGGATGTGCTGGAACTCCTCGATGCCCAGATCGACCTTTGGCTTGAGCGTCGAGACCACCTTGCCGTCGCGGAGGATCGCGACGAATCCCGGCTCGGCGCCAGGCTGACTGGGGGCGCCGCTCTTGAGGCAGCCAGCGACCATCAGACGCTCGCCGTTCCAATCGACGAAGTCGATGTCGCAGACGTCGCCGCCGGCCGTGTCGAAGCCCTCGACGAAATCGCCCGTGAGCGTCATCCGCTGAATCCACTGGCGTTCGCGGTCGGCGATCAGCAGCGTGGCGTCGTTGGGGTCGAACGTGACGCCGTGGTTCGTCGAGTACTTGCCCTCTTGTCGGCCATTGCCCTCGACGGGGCCGCCGTAGTAGCGGTCGAAGAACTTCTCTCCCTCGAGGTCCGCGGTGAGGACGTACTTGCCGGGCGAGTAGCCGTCGCAGATGTAGAGGACGTTATCGGTCGCCAGGTCGGCGTCGGTGGGACGGTAGGCGTTGTCGGCGTTCTTGTAGTAGTCGTTCACCGCGGGACGGCCGATGGTCGCGACCGTCTTGCCCTCAAGCGTCACGGCATAGACGCGGCCGCGAGCCGGGTCGGGGAGGATCAGCAGGTCGCCGTCCTTCTTGACGTAGGTCGTGTTGTGTAGCGCGCCGCCCTTCATGTCGTCCGAGTCGGAGACGAGGGTCTTCGTCTTCAGGTCGGCTGAAAGGCGGACGAGGCCGGTCCCTTCGAGGCCGAAATAGATGTCCCCGTCGGGCGTCTTGGCGAAACCGCCGTGGGCTTTCTTGATCCCCTTGGCGATCTCCTCCGGGAGTTCGCTGAGGTCGGACCGGTAGCGGAACCGCAGATCGCCGGAGCCGGTGACGGCGTTCTCATGGGGCGTCTCGGCGACCCCCTCGGTAGAGGGTTTTTTCTCGGCGGCGACCAAGTGATCGCGGTGGTCATGGCCGGGGTGGGCGTAGA